CGTGGGGGCACAGTCACTTGCCCGACGGCACATAGCTAGGAAGTGATTCTGCGCCTGCAAGTGGGTGCCCGAGGGAGCCCCAATCGGGCGTGGCCTAGTTCTCTCTAGCCGCCTCAGGCCCCAGAGCAAGTTAGGACTAACAGCCTCCAGCCGTAGCTGCGGGCACAAGTCACACTTGGCCGTGCGTCCTCTTCTGATCATTGATTCCAGAAGTACTTAGGAAGGGAGGGAAGGAGCCTGTGTGAGTTAAGTTGCCCAAAGAGTTGGAATTTTTCTCTCCTCTTTGGTGAGGATAATCGCTCACCCTGTATACAGAGGTGCGCTAACTTAGTGATCCCAGGGAGATCCAGAAACACTTGTTTATGTTGGGAATGTTCACATGCAAGCTCATGTGAACCCTGCTGCCTGCATCTCCGAAAAAAATGCGTCTTCCCTCCTTACCTTTCTGCCGGGGGACCGAAAGCCACGAATGCATTTGTGCGTGTAACAGACGTCCAGGCCGTGGTGTGACCCAGTGCACGTAGCTAACGATGGCCCGCGAGGCCCTGGAGAAGAAAACCTGGCTCCCTGTCTCCGTCGAGGTGCTCACAGCCCCAGGGTGAGAGTGGAGACCAGTGAACAGTACAGTCATCAGAGAGAGTGACCCGCCCTGTGCTAGGGGCTACCCGGAGGCCGGGAGACCGCAGGGCTGGCGGAGCCGCGGGCCTGTGGGACGGCAGGGCAGCTGTGCGGAAGGTGGGGCGGGAGGGAGCAGAGCACTGGCACCCGAGGACACAAGGAGCCCAGTGACGTCACGGGCTCGTCAGGAACAGATGGCATCTGGAAATAGAGCCGCCGCCTCTTAGGGATGAAGCCTGTGCTTAGACACAGGGCTGGCCGTCTCCACACCATGATCAGAAGTGGAGACTTGAGGGCTTCCCTGGTGGCGCAGTGGTTGGGAGCCCGCCTGCCGATCCAGGGCACACGGGTTTGCGCCCCGATCCGGGAGGATCCCACATGCTGCGGAGCGGCTGGGCCCGTGAGCCGTGGCCGCTGAGCCTGTGCTCCACAACGGGAGAGGCCGCAACAGTGAGAGACCCACGTACCAAAAAAAAAAAAAAAAGTGGAGATTTGAATCAGAGCAGTGTTGACGGGATTTCAAGAGCATCTGATACATAATTTATAATTGTTTTTTTTTGATTACAGTTTCTGGGGCTGTTAACAGTGGTTTGTGTCCTCTCGCAGGGCGTTTGCACTACCGGGCAGTGTTGAAGGTGGCCTGTCCTGCGCTCTTCCCCCTTCAGATCAGCTGTGTTTCCCTCTGCAGTCCTGTCGCGGACCTTTCCCCTCCCCGTGTCCTTCACAGCATCCAGTCGGCCTGCTGGGCTCCAGCCCCCGGAGGGGGCTGCGGGTCTGTGGAATCGTCAGCCGCTGAGAACCTGCCGGCCTGTCCTCCCTGCCCTGGGAGCTGCTCTCTCCTGGGTAACAGGTCCCGAGTGTGTTCCACAGGGGAATGAGCACCCAAAGCCGTATATCGCGGCTGCCTTTGCAGTTCTCCTTTGCGCTGCTGACTCCCCGCTCCTGGGTCCACCCAGGAGTGCGTGCAGGGAGATACTTAGTTGCTTACTCGCCCGTGCAGAGTCCTTAACTCATTGTATTTTCTTGGTCTTTACGTCTGGATCTTGCTATCACCATTGACTATCCGTGAAGATACAGTAGAAGGGGATATACATGCATACACACAGATACCACAGACACACGTGCGACACGTGATATGTAAACACACACACACATTATCCATATTATGTACAAACTAGTCACTTGGAACCTATTAGAAACACAGGTTGGAATATGACCCCAGTAGAACCCCGAATTCCCACCTTTAGTCCTTTTTTCTTTGTGAGCTGGATTTCCTGAATTCTTACCAGCTGGGACAGTAAGAACCAATTCGTGCTTTTATGGCTTTCGCTTTGCAAGTTCGGGAGGAAGCCAAGAAAAAAATCAGGGGTGGAGGACAAACTTGGCCCAGAAATTGCCATCTGAAGTTAGATGTGGGGTGGGCCACAGGGGACTAACTGTGCTCCTCCAATGAGAGGTGACCAGGCAGCCCTCACTTAGAGAGTGCCCTCGGGTCCTGCGAAGGCCGCCGCGCTAGTAAGGCAGGAAGGAGCCCGGGGCACCTGCTGACGACAGAAGGTCTTTTGCTCTGAGTCACTGTCCCACTCTCAGTGGGGCTTTGCTCCTACAGGTGTGACCTCTACCTTCTCTGGGTAGATCTTAGCGTGTCCTGTCTAAGGCACTTTGCAAATAGAGCTCCTTTTATTTTTATATTTTAAATTTACTTTTGGCTGCATCGTGTCTTCATTGCTGCACGCGGCCTGTCTCTAGTTGTGGCGAGGCGGGGGGGGGGGGGGGGGCTACTCTTGGTTGCAGTGCGCGGGCTTCTCATTGCCGTGGCTTCCCTTGTTGTGGAGCACGGGCTCTACGCGTGCGGACTTCAGTAGTTGTGGCGCAGGGGCTTAGCTGCTCCGCGGCATGTGGGATCTAACCGGACCAGGGCTTGAACCCGTGTCCCCTGCATTGGCAGGCAGATTCTTAACCAGTGCGCCCCCAGGGAAGTCCCTAGAGTTCCTTTTAAATTAACATATTAAATATGAACCCAGCTGGCCCAAGACGCTTAGATTTTAGCAGTAAATTGTAGCTGATTTAACTCTCCGTTTTAATGAGGTCGTGGCTATTTATTTAATAGGTACCAGGTGCTTTCGTGTGGGTCTGTGGATGCTAGAGTTCAAGAGTTTTATAATAAGCAAAAAAGTTCGTGTTCCTCAACTCTTTGAAGTGAAAGATTGGGGAGGCGTTCATGAATTGTCATAAATTAGGTCTTACTGTCTTAAGAGGCACTATAGTTTCAATGGAAGGGAGGCATGGGGTTTGCTTTTCCACGGCAGGCCAGATGAAGTAGTGTGTGACAGGGCATCTGAGCTGTGAGGCACACTTCTCCCACGGTTGTCCATTTGATGACGCCTAAATGCCATTCTGTCTTTTGTAACCAGACAGCTGCTGTGTATTGTTCTCTAAACCATCCATTACATTGTTTGGGTTATCTTGCTAACTTCTAGTTTAATGTTGTCAACGAAAATAATAAACAATCTATAACAGGAATAGAAAAGAGTTTTATCTGAGCCAAGCTGAGGACTACAGCCCAGAGAAGCCTGAGGGACTGCTCCCGAGAAGCATGGCGTTCGGTACAGCTTTATGTCTTGTCAAAAACAACGTTAAACAAGTCAGGAATACACTGCTTCACAGTTTCAAAACAGACCAGCACGTACACAGCGAGTCAGTGTGGCCTTGGCACCTGGGAAAGGGAGTCTTAGCATTGAAGGAGCGCCCGCATGGGCTTTCCAGGAACAGAAGCAGTTAATCTTTATTTTTAACATGGACATTCTTTACTTGTGGTCAGTGCGCCCTTTTCTTTAATAATTAATGCAGACGTACAGTGTATGTTTGCTAGGCCACAAACAGGCTCTCTAAGTTAGCATAAAATTCAAGTTAACTTACGTGTAAGCCGGAATGACTTCCCCAGACCTCAGTAAGTTAGCACTTCTTTCATCAATGTGTGCCCAATACAGATTAAAAAAATAAAAATAAACAACACCTAACTTCCCCGAGCTGGGTTAATATTGTCTTAATTTGGAAGCAGAGAACAAACCTGCCCCCTTGTAGGGTCCCAGCAGGTCTGGCTCTCTTCTGTCCTCTTCCAGATGCTGAGCCCTTCCAGCTGCTGTCTCTGGGCTGGAGGCAGTGCCAGTGGGGAGTGTGGCCCCAGCTGGCTGATGGGGGAAGGGAGGGGAGTTGGGGGTGGTCCATGGTCCACTCTCGACCAGCCATTGAACCTGGAAGGGACCTTCCTCCTGAGGACATAGCAAGGGAGACATGCAACGAGCAGTTGATTCGGAGTACAGCTGCCTGGATGGGGTTGGGACATCTGTAATGCCCAGGCCTGGTATCGTGTCCCGGGAGGAGGACACACCTCCAGGGCCCCAAGGGGTTGCCAGGGTGTGTGGGGAGGAGGTCTTCTATCCCACTTGTTTCGCAGTAGGTTACATCTCTTACTGGCACTTGTGCTCTACCTACTGGGTCTCTGATTGCTGCCTTTTTAGGGTCTCCTTTAACAGCTCTGAGGGTGTCTTAACAGAGAACAGCTCTTCCTGTGAATGGAAAGGTCAGTCAGAGGCTCATTTTATTATTCAGTCAGGTCGGAAGAAAGTGTGTCAGCGAAAGCAGCAAAGGCATGGCCGGCTGACTTGTTGCGAGTTTGATGGTTATCGTAACGCCCACGAGCTTTAGCTTCGGCACAGCTATACGTGCATGTGAAGCATGCCTGCGTGTGTTTTGCAGGTGTGTGTGTGTACGTGCGCGCATGTAAGTACGTTTCAGGGAAAGACGGAAATGGATACGGATGTGGAAATGGATGAGTATGGAAAGATCAGTGTCGCACTGCAGCTTCCAAAACGAACAGTCTCTGTTTTTCTTATATTTAATAACAGACTACTGATTTTAAAGTTTTTTATCAGTTTACTTGCTGCCCGTCTTAGAAAGTTCTGTCCCTTTGTATATGGCAATTTCCCGAAATAAGCCACATGAAAATATTGTTGCAACATGAAGTAAATATTTCTGAGTATCACAGTTTGAGGATTTCTACACACATTGTTTTTTTAAATGTTTGTGTGAATTATATTTTGCCCCCAAATTGCAGTCTGTGTGTACACGTGTGTGTGTCTGTAACGTGCGTACCTCCTGTCCTGTGGTATGACACGCCAGCGTACTGGCGAATGTCCAGTGTGTGTTTGGCGTTGATGCCTTGTGTGAGGAATCGCAGCGGGGACAGGTGCAGGCAAAACGTACGTGGATTGAATTCCTTAACATAACTGAAGGAGGTTATGGACACATGGGTGTAGTCCTGTTTGGGGAGAAGATGTTAACTGGAACCGTTGGCTCATTTTTCTTCCTTTCTTCCCTAGACAAGCAGATGCCCCGTGTGCAGAAGACAGTCCAGGAGCGCAGCGGGACCCCCAGCAGCCATCCCAGGTCTCTGAACCAGCTGGCTCCCGGGAAGCTCCCGAGGTGCCCCCGGAGGGCCGTGGCCGGGCGGGGACCCTTCCTTGCGATTACAGATACCCGGAGGAACGCGCGCCCGCGCACCGGCCTGCCGCCCCGCACGCCCGGGGGCAGGACCCCCGGCCCCTGAGCGCCGCCCCGCTCTCCCGGAGGCCCGCCCCACAGAGGCCGCCGCCGCCCAGGCGTGAGCCCAGGCCCTTGGCGGGCGCACCTGCGGCTGCTCACCTGGGCGCGCCCGGCAGGCCCCGCCCCCTGGCCCCGGAGGTGTGCTCGTGCTCGGACCGCCCGGCCCTCGCCCGCTGCAGCCCCGGCGCCTCGGCGGAGAAGCTGAGCGCCGCCCGGCCCGCGGCAGATGGCCCGCGGGCTGCGGGGGAGCCGGCCGGGCAGCATGTAGACGAGCGCGCAGGCTGGCCCCGGCGGGAGGCGCCGCTCCTTTCCAAGTTCCGGCCCTTGCAGACCTCCGCCATGGAGACCTCGCGCTCCCCGTCGCCTCAGTTCGCGCCCCAGAAGCTGACGGACAAACCCCCGCTGCTCGTCCAGGATGATAATTCCACCAGGTACTGTCTCTGGACGGCGGCCTGAGGCCTTCTTCCCCTCTGCCGGCCCCCTTCCACCGTGGGAGGCTTTCAGCGCTCCTTTCCTGGGTGGTGAACCACTGCCGCCTTGCTCCCGGCTCCCCGTCCTGGAGTTTAAGTGGGTCCTGGGGACTGACGTGGGGGAGAACCCACCACTCTAGCGGTCAGCTGGATTGTCAACTTGCTGGGGGCTTTCCTGCCCCACAGGGGGTGAGGTAAAGGAGGGAGTAGACTGTCCCCTGGTCCTGTTCCCAAGCCCCACAGGTTGATAGCTGTGTTACCTACAGGCTTCTGCACAGCAGGGCTGGTTTTCCCAGCTGAGTTCTGTTTGTAATCAAGTTTAACCTAAGCATGAGACCTTCAAGCAAAATCGGTGTTTTTCATGATGTCCAGTATTTCCACATGCCTTTTTTTGCAGTTCTTTTTATATGAAAAGGCTGAGGTGGTGTAAAGCAGAGGAAAACTCGATCCCGTCCCATGGTGCTGTCCTCAGAGTTACCGGCATGGGATTGTCGGTTGTGCCCACTGAGCCATTGGTGAATGCTGTCAGGCAGGGACCAGTCAAGAACTGAGAAATAGAAGGGGGGGAACTTTCTTCTCATTCTCTAGAGCACTGGTTCTCAGCAGGGGGGTGGCATTGCGGCCCCCAGGAGGACACTGGGCCGTGTCTGCAGACGTTTTGGATGTCACAGCTGCTGGGCGTGGGGCTTGTTCCTCGGCTCCTGGCATCTGTTGGGCGGAGGCCAGGGGTGCCGCTTAGTATCCTACAGTGCCCAGGACGACCCCCCAGCAAAGAATTCGCTGGCCCTGCGTGTCAGTACTGTCTGATATAGTAGCTACCAGTCGCACGTGGCCATAGCGATATAAGTTAATGAGAATGAAATGAAACCCGTTGCTCAGTTGTGCCCTCTGGGGCTAGTGGCTACCACCCTAGACAGCCCAGATTATGGCTGATTTCATCATCATGGAAAGTTCTGCTGGATCTCCCCGCTGTAGAGTCTTGAACTTTTTTTTAACCCTTAAGATAACTTGGCAGAGAGGAAACAGTACTGATAGCGTCCTGGGTCTCCACGCGTGGCATGGCCAAATGCAGCTGCACCTGCAGGCCAGCACTGCTCTGCATCGTTCAGAATGCAGGTGTCACTTAGAGATCCTTTCTGTTGGCAATGTTGTTCAGCCCTGAAAGGGGGGAGAAGCGATGAAGTAGTTTGTGTGATTGGTGGAATGTGTTGGTACCGCTGTAGGTAAGGTGACCGGGCCCCTCGGGTCTCGGGAGCTGGTTTGGGCACAGCGGGCTCCATGGCTTTACGGAGAAACAGGGCCACGTGTTTGCTCAGTGCTCACGACGTCTGTAGACTTCAGGAGGTGGGGAGTGGTTTTCATTTTCTCTTGTCCCGAGCGAGTGTGGGTTTTCTCGCCCTGTCTTTTGTGTGAGAGGGATTTCAACAACCAGTGGCAGTACTTGTTGACGATACTGAGTGCCGGTGTCTTCAGGCATCCGCTCTGTTCCCATCCAATGTGTCATTTGGGACAGCGAAGGTTGTCTCGTCCCTTGCTGTGCCAGCCCTCGTAGAGCGCCCGATTGTGGTCAGCGTGCAGAGCTAACTCGGTATGTGTCCCCTCAGGGAGCACAGTGCAGCAGATGGTAGCCACGCCACCCACGAAGTTCCTACCGAGGAAGTGGCTCATAATGTACTGAGTTTGGTGTCCCCGTCCCCAGAGCGGGTGTTACCGGTCACCGTGGGCCTGAGAGAGTGGCATGCCCTTGACATACGCTGCGAACCTGAGGCCGGCGCTCCACACGAGTGCTGGCCGGCTCCATATCCACCATCAACCACCAACGGGCAGCGAGCGCAACACACTGGCCGGGGCCTCGCAAGCTGCCTGGTGTTTGGGCACAGCTCAGAGACTCCCTTCTTGTCTGCACGTGTGCTGAGTGATTTCTTGAGCACCACCCGCCCCCCTCATCTCCCTCCGCGTTCATCTGTCCCTCCCTCCAGTTACCTCTGCTGGGGAACCAGCCAGGGTGCAGAGCAGCTCCTGTGTCCCTGAGACACGCCTTCCCGAATTCAGCAGGCAGGTCCAGAGCCCTCCCTTGTGCCAGGCCGCGGAAGTGCAGCCTTCCCACCCTGTGGGGAATTTCAGAGCACTCATTCGCTCCGAATAAAAATGCATCAACTCCTGTCGTAAAGCCAGGAAGCTTACTATGAAAAAACTTCTAAAATTTTGAGTGTTTTGCTGGTTTACAACAACATGGAGACAATGCCCAGCAGCACGGGCGAGTGAAAATGACAGATTTCACGGCTCCCAGCAGTGTTCCCAGGAGATTTCCTGGGGCCGGTTTCTGGGTTTGGGAGCGTGTGTGAGCATGGAGCTCGGGGGGCTGCTTCGGGGTCGTTCGGACAGTCTTGCGGTCACCTCGGGCAACTCGTGGTTGGAGAAACTCCTTGTGGGAGTTGTGGTTTATCAGACCCAGGGTGGCATGTGGGCTGAGGGCTCCCTCGGGACTGGGTGTGTGAGCACAGCGGGTTGCACTGCTTGCTGTCGGGGGCTGGGGCCCTGTGGGCGGCCAGCGGCTCACCTGGACGGAGCCCGCGCTCTGGGAGGAGCCGCAGCACGGAGAGGGGGCCAGGCCCGGCACAGCCCGCATCCTCCATCCCTCCTGGTCCGGCTTACCATGAGGAACGGATGCGGTCTGGCTGCGATAAGGTCTTGTCCACTGTGTTTTGTCTTCACTTTGAGGTAGAAGTTCATCAGACTTCCTAAATGTGAAAGTCTGCTCAGGTTTCAAGAGGAGAGATCATTTGTGCTTAGAAATGACCGGGAAGAGACGCTGTGTTGGAAAGTATAGGACAACCTGCGGAGGATTTGTTTTTGTTTTTACCTCGTGTCTTCCTTCGCTGGAAATTAAGTTTCCCCACGAATCGGGGCCGGGGGAGATGCAAATACAGGCTGACTTTGAAGTCCCTAACAGGTGTTGAGGGTCTCTACGCATGGAATGCAAGGGATGGAATGAAGAGGGGTTCTTGTTTGTGTGTCCTTGCTTCGATAAGATGCCACAATTTTCCTTCGGAAGTCCAGCATGTCTCAGCAGTATTATGCACAGAGTGACAGCCTTTAGAAACTTATTCACTAAGAAGGCACGACAGGGACTATATATGACCACCTAGATTAATAAACAAACACCTCTGCTCTCAGTGGTTTCTGCTGGAGGAGAGAAGAAAATAAAAGTTATTTCATTGCAGCCTGCGCGCCCCACCCTTAGGAACAAGGAAAGAACCGTGATGTTTTGTGTTATGCCCCTTGTGCACCATAAGATTACGTCCATTCGGACCACAGAAGTGGTTTTACGCTGAGTTAGGAACAAGTCGGGGTTTTGGTTGTATGATTTTGGCCTGTCTTTTGCCTTCCCTCCTGGCTACCAGCAGATAGCTCTCTTTCTCCAGTTTGTCCTTCAAGGGTATTTGAAATGGATTTGTGTCCCAGCGGCCCTGGTCCGGGGGATCCCCTGGCACCAGCCGGCTTTCGGGTGGCCCCTGACGCAGCCCCATTGCCTCAACCAGGCCGTTCCTTTCCGTTTTTTCTTCCCTGTGGCTGCTCGAGGTGCCTCCCCCGCTTTCACCGACAAACTTTTTTTTTTTTTTTTTTTTTTAAAAAGGACGCCTGCATGAGTCATTTCCAAGGTAGCGCAGGAGCAGCGTGTCCCATGTTCGCTGCTGGATCCTTATCTGTCTGGTATGAAATGCCGTGTGGAGGGCAGCTCGAAGTGTGGGGCAGTGGAAGGCAGGTGGGGTGAGACCCAGGGCGCACGAGGGTCCAAGGACGCTTCCAACCGGGACCAGGACCGGGTGGCGCTCAGCATGTGCTCAGAACACGGCTGCTTTTTCTAAAGGAGTCCTCCGGCCACCGCGAGGACCCCGCAGGCAACCCGGCTGTGAGAGACGCTGGCTGACGCACCGACGCTAATTCTGTGAAACACGCCTGTCTGTTGCAGGGCTCCCTTGCAAAAGAAAATCTCACTGAGCAGGCTTCTTACCGTTGGCTCTGCCACTGACCTAAAAGCAAATGAGCATCACACTGCCCTTCTGTCTGTCAGTAAGCCCACGGATGTGCCTTCAGGCGTGCAGGTGACTGTTGGAAAATGGAAAGACACCTACACGCCCAGGAGGCTTAGGAGATCAAGGTAGGGGTGGCAGGCACTCCTCAACCTGGTCTCCCCATCCTGGGACGTGTGACCATGAAGGCTTCTCCCCTGGGGCCGCTGCAGGCCTTTGAGTCAGTCTTCCCAGGCTGTAAGGGGATGCGGAAACCAGCCGATTTCTCATCCAGTGTCTAATTCTGGTCGGTGCCTGGGCGTACAGCGTGTCTGTAACAGACGGCCCTTCTCTTTGCAGAATCGAGCGGGTGATGGACAACAACACCACAGTGAAGATGGTGCCCATCAAGATCGTGCACTCGGAAAGCCAGCCCGAGAAGGAGAGCCGCCAGGGCCTGGCCCGCGTCCCGGAGCCACCCGTGCTGCTCAGCGGGCTCGAGCGGGACCACATCAAGACGCTTAGCACGTCCGAGCAGTCCTACTCCCGCTTCTGCCTGTACAGCCGCCAGGGCGCCGAGCCCCAGCCCCCTGGCACCCCGGTGCCCACGGCCAAGGACAGCCGGGCCTCCACGCCCACGCTCAGCTACGTGAAGGCCAAAGAGAGGACTGCCGAAGACCTCAAGTCGGAGGAGCTGGCCCGCGAGATCGCGGGCAAGGATAAGTCCCTGGCGGATATCCTGGACCCCAGCGTGAAGATCAAAACCACCATGGACCTTATGGAGGGCATCTTCCCCAAAGACGAGCACCTCTTGGAAGAAGCTCAGCAGCGGAGGAAGCTGCTCCCCAAAATCCCCTCTCCCAGAACCACGGAGGAGAAGTGAGTAGACGCCGCCCTGGGTTCTGCCCCCTGGCTGGATGTGGTTTTGCCCGGTGCCTCTTAGGCTTACAAGGGCGAGGGAGTGTATCTTCGTGACTGCTCTTTGGGGACAGATTTCCATAAGTGCTTATTAGCACTCTGGGGCTCTTTTGTCACCCTCCCGAAATTAAAAGCCCATTCTGGGGATGATGACGTCAGGTCCTGGCAAAGATGTGAAAATATACGTTTCCGGAGATGCCCACGGGGCTTCTTCTCACGAGGCGGTGGTTCTCAGCCGGAGGCTGTTGTCTCCCGCCACGGGACAGTTGGCAATGTCGGGATACACTTTCGGTTGTCACCACTGGGAGAGGTGCCCCCGGCATCTAGTGGGTGGAGACCAGGGATGCTGCTTGCTGCTCTACAATGCACGGGACGGCCCCCCATCAAAGAATGGTCCGGCCCCAAGTGTCACTAGTACGGAAGTTGAGAAACTTGTCACAAGAGGAGTGAAAGTTGAGACTACTTCTTAGTATGTGTGTTTATGAAAGAGGCTTTTCTGTTGTTGCTTATTTAACTGAGGGAGTGAACTTGCTGCAATAGGTTTCGTAAAGAGCGCTTTCCAGCCCCTGTCCTTCACTCACCTGCCCACAAAGGTGTATCTGCTCACATCTCTCCTGTTTCTGTACATGGTCTCCATAAGCATCGTTGACTGGCGGTAGGCGGGAGTACCAGGCAGACAGGAAGTCAGGCCGTAGCAAGAGGCAGCAAATGCGGCTGCTGGTAGAAAGGTGCCCGGTGACCTTGGGCATGCGGCCACGCCTACGGATAGCGGCAGACCTCTCCCCGTAGACCTCGGGCTCCCGGCGGATACCATCTGCACCCTCCTCCCTCCGGGGCGCGCCTTCGAGCACCACTTGGCGGGGTGTTTTAGTTCTGACCTCACAACCTACTCCTTCCCCACTCCTGCTGTCTCATCTCTCTAGCTGTGGTGCCTTTCCGTTAGCACCACCATTTGCCGGTCACAGCCCAGGCTGTGGGACTCGCGGGCACGTCTGTGTGTACGCTCAGAGCTAACGGGTGTTCTGACGTTTTGTTACCCAGGAAGGAGGAGCTGAGTGTGCCGGCGGCCGTGTCCCTGGCCACCACCTCCACCTACTACAGCACCTCGGCCCCCAAGGCGGAGCTCCTGATCAAGATGAAAGACCTGCAGGACCAGCAAGAAGCCGAAGAGGATTCAGGGAGTGACGCCGACCACGACCTGTCGGTGAAGAAGGTAGGGGAGCTGCAATTCCAAACGAGAACGCGCCGGCTGGCTGGCAGGCAGGCCGGCCGGCCGGGGGCGGCACCCGGCTCCACCCCGACCCTGGGCCCTGCGCCGAGCGCCGTTGGTGTTGGGCTTCTGTGTGGGACGCTGACATTTGGGCCTGTGTATTAAGCCCTTCGTGGGTGAGTCTTCTGTTCTAAAATTGGGCCTCTCTGCCAGGGTCTCTTTGCCATCTCTTTGTAATGAGATCCAGTGTCAAATTAGCTAGGTGGCCACCAGTCTCTCTCATTTTAAGGTCACCTGATACGTCTCTTCTACCCCAGTTAAATCCAGAGGGCTTAATTGTGTGACCTTCCGCAAGGCACATGTCCTCTTCGACTATCCGTTTCAAATATCTGTGACCCGATGATGTTAGTTAAATTCAACAGTATATTGTGAAGTGCGTTGTTAACCAAAAAGCATCACCTGTTCAACTCCAAAAACTCACCCAGGCACTTGGGGATACAGCAGTAGACAAAACAGACTGGAGTCAGTCCTTATTTCCCTGAAGGCACTTGTGTGCTCACAGAGGAGATGGATAGCCAACATAAAAACAAATATAAAAAAACAAACAGGGCCCCGTGGGCCAATCCCTGCCCCCCACCTGCTCTTGTAAATACAGTTTTATTGCAACACAGCTACACTCATTCATTTTACATATGGTCTCTGGTAGCTTTCACGCTACACCAGCAGTGTCGAGTAGCTGCAACAGTGGCTGTGTGGCCCCTGAAGTCTAAAATATTTACTGTTTGGCCGTTTATAGAAAAAGTTTGCCAACCCTTAATGGAGTAGGTCGGGTGGTCAGAAAACTAAAACAGCGTGAAGGAATAGAGAGAGGTAAAGGATGTAGAGAAGGCTCTGATGAGCGGGTGATGAACAGAGACCTGGAGTGATGTGAGCGAATGTCTGGTCGATCTGGGGAGGGTCTGGGGGAGTGTGGTTTGGGCCGCAAGTGCAAAGGCCCTGGGGTGGGAGTTTTGTGACACGTTGGGGAAGCAGCGGCGACCAATAGCTGGAGCTGTGTGGACAAGGGGGAGGATTAGAGAGGAGGTCAGAGGTGAAATAGCGTGTAACCATGAGGTCACGGTAGGGACGAAATTATTGCTATCAGTGCCGACGTCTCCACTACTGTGCGAGCTTCAAATCTTCATGGCACGTCAACGGGCCAGACTTGTGACATCTAGGTGTGATTACCTGTTTGTTTGTTTTTTAGGAAGGATTTAGCATAAAGGGAGAAAGGAATTGCCCAAGGCAGTCAGTTTCAGAGGATAGCATGTGCTGTTGGTTTATTCCAGGGGCTTTGAGCATGCGTAGTCAGCACCAGGAGAAAAAAAGGAGGGAACCAGCATTTGGTGCATTTTTCCGTACACTTAGCATCTTGGAAGGGGCTTTCATAAAAAAATACCAATTTGTTTTGACAAGACCCTTGCCAAGGATCATGTTTAATACCTCCTCGTATTGTTAGTTGTTTAAAAAATGCCATTGATTGGTTTCAAATATGATAGACAAACCCATTCCAGAAGAAATACCCTGACCCTTGTGTAAAAGAAAGTGACTTTCAATTTAGGAAGTGATAGCCTTTTTTTAATTTAAAAAGGAGATGAAAACTAAGAGTTTTGGTCCTGGGATTTTAGAGGCCCTGTGTCTGGCACAGGGTACCATTTGCTTTCCTCTGGTTGTGTTTTCCACGTTCTTAAAAATAATGAATTTAAAAAAACAAAGTGTTGTTATTCTCATACACCTAGAAAAAACATCCAGTTTGGACAGTTTTAATTCCGTCCACACCCTAGATGCAAAGAACTATGTTCTTTATACTATGCCTTTGTTTCTCATGATGTACTGAATTTGGGAAGCAGCAGCCTTGGTACCGCTCCTTTCATCTGTCTGGGGCCTCTTCCGATTTCTTTGGGGGCACGAGATGCCGGGCACTGCCTCCCCATAGATGGCGGCTTTGGGATTGACATGAGTCACTGTGAGCTTGCCCCCTGTCCATCACCCCACCAGGATTAAATTCCTAAGCCAGCTGACGTTTTTGGTTCAGTAAGCGTATGTCGGGCACTTCCACCCCAAGCAGGAAATGCTTTAAGCGCTGGGTCAGCGCTGTCGCCGCCCCAGTAGTCCTGTTCTCCTGGCTGCGCTGCCTCTGCTGCCTTTCCAGTGCCCTCATATCTACGGTGTCACGCGCTTACAAAGTGTGCACGGGACGAGGAGAAGGGAGGGCCGTGCAGGTGCGCAGGAAAAATGCTGCATGGAGACCCTCTTTCGAAGCATCGTCCTGAGACACAGATCACCTGTATCAGGCGTACGAAGTGTAGGGTGTCTCCAGTGCTTCAGCGGGTCTCCCGAGGTGGTTTGTTTCTTTTTTTTCTCCTGCCCGAATAGTCCCTGGGATGGGGCAGTGTCTACCGAACGGTAGCGGTGAGCTCGGAGCAGCTTCTCATGCACACTTGCGGTCTTGCCGGCAGCGGCTCTGGACAGGCGCCTACTGCATGCCAAGCAGCGGGCTAAGCCTCCGGGGATTTCACCCATCTTCATGTTAGCCCTGGAGGTCGGGGCAACTGCTCCCTGCTCAGCTCTGGACACCATCCTGGAGGGTTTCACGAGACTGAGCCTTCCGTTGTACATAAAATAGCATTACTCGCTGTGGAGCAACAGACTGAGTTTAAAAATCCTGATCGGACTTAGCATTCCAGCTAATTGTTTAGTCCTCATCTTGGTGCGGGCAGCAGAGCTCTGCCTCCGTTTTCATCACTCCAGCCTCGGGCTAGCACAGGGATGCGCTGGCCTCCTAAACCCCACGTAACCTGCCATGTCCGTCAACACGAGGTTGGCGGACTCGTGCAGGGCGGGTGGCAGCAGGGTTCCGAAAAGGACAACGGGTGACTTTGCTGCCCTGCACCACTCACCATGTCAGGGCGGGCTGCCGGTTGGCATCTGCCATGCTTGGGTTTAACAGCAGAAGCACGTCCGTAGTCATGGGAACAGGGTTTTTCTGGGGAAGGCTTCCCTGCTGGACCCCTTCTGAGCGGTCCTTGTAATTTTTCTCAAATGTGATGACCCACGAGACAGATAATCTGCTTTCTCTGCCCCTCAACTCGGACCACATGGTGCCGCGATGGTGACCGATTAAAAGGTCTTTGTACGTGTCATTTTTGCTCTCTAAAAATTCATCATTTCAAGAGCTGGCAGGAGGGGGGGGGAATGGGGAGCTCGTATTGAATGGTCAGAGTTTCCGTTTTGGAGGATGGAGAGGATGTGGAGATATGGGTGGCGGTGCTAGCCGCACAGCACCGTGCATGTGCCTTAATGCCACAGAACAGCACACAGCACACGAGAAAAGAGGCAGGACGGTAAACGTTGCAGCATGTATATTTCATGACGTTTAAAGAAGTCATTTATTTACATTTTGGTCAAATGGAGATCAGTACTTTATTATTCTGAAAGACTTGCCTAAGTTCATTGACATCCTTCATTTCTCTTAATTTCCACATGGAAGACACGTTTTAATCACGGAGTTCAGTACCTCAGTACCAGACTCAATAACTTGTGTGCATGTAAGGCTTCCAATTGGGAACTGCCAAAGAAGGAAGCGCAGGGACTTCCCCGGTGGTCCAGGGGTGAGGACTCGGTGCTTTCACTGCTGAGGGCCTGGGTGTGATCCCTGGTCGGGGAACTAAGATCCCACAAGCCGCACAGCGCGGCCAGAAAAAAAACAAAAAACAAAGGAAGCAAAGGGTATCACAGAGGCCCGGAGAATCCTTGCAAAGATACAGGCTGAAACGAGGTTCACCGTGAGTAGCCCCAGGGGTCCCACTCCTGCATAATCTGATAGGACAGTCAGAGTGAGAATAGGTTTGTTCTGTTCCGTTTCTAAATCAAACGCCAATGATTGAACAGGAAGGCCTTATCCTTCCCCTAGTCTTAAACATCCCCAGTTAGTTATATTTATTTTTGGCTGCGTTGGGTCTTCGTTGCTGCGCGCGGGCTTCTCATTGCAGTGGCTTCTCGTCGTGGAGCACGGGCGCTAGGCGTGCGGGCCTCAGTAGTTGCAGCACGTGGGCTTCAGTAGTTGTGGCTCGCAGGCTCTAGAGTGCAGGCTCAGTAGTTGTGGCGCACGGGCTTAGTTGCTCCGCGGCATGTGGGATCTTCCCGGACCAGGGCTCGAACCCGTGCCCCCTGCATTGGTAGGCGGATTCCCAACCACTGCACCACCAGGGAAGTCCCCCTGTTATTTACTGATGCCAGACAAGCTGCCGCCCGGCTGAGCTGAGTTGCCCGCAGATCCGGGATGTGTGAGGGGGTGCTGCAAGGCGGCCCTGACCGCCCTGACCGCGTCCCCTGCCCTGTGCCCACAGCAGGAGCTCATCGAGAGCATCGGTCGCAAGCTGCAGGTGCTGCGGCAGGCGCGGCAGAGCCTGCGGGAGGACATGCAGGCCAACAGCGCGCTGGGCGACGAGGTGGAGGCCCTGGCCAAGGCCGTCTGCAAGCCCAACGAGTTCGACAAGTTCCGCATGTTCATCGGGGACCTGGACAAGGTAGTGAACCTCCTGCTGTCGCTGTCCGGCCGCCTGGCCCGCGTGGAAAACGCCCTCAACAATCTGGACGAAGGCACTGCTCCTGGCGATCGGGTAACTATGGCCAGGGCTGACCTGGAAGGCGGGGCGGGGTGTGGCTTTCTTGTGGGGGGTGGAGCAGACCGCCGGGAAGCCTCGTTCAGCCGCCACGGCCACCTGTCCGCCTCGTAGCGCAAGATGCTGTTGAACGCCCAGGGCTTGCTTGCTCCGTCCTTGTGTGTGGGGGGGGGGGGGGGAGGCGTGGCGCGCGTCCGTGGGTAAGTGGAGCTCCCCCACTGCCTGACGAGTCCTCGGCACCCAGTGACAGTGGCGTTTTATGGTGACTTGGTTGCTGGGACTTCACAAGAGGGCCGGCAGGGTCTAGAATGAGGCTAAGAGCTGCTCTGCTTTCCTCCTCCCTTCACAGCAAGTGCAACTTGGGACATTCTTAGTGGGTCTGCGTGTCTGCTCTTTGCACATGCAAGACACCATCTACCTTACAGGCTCTACTATTTCGTAGGTCACAGGCTCTACTATTTCGTAGGTCAGGTAGCAAGAGCACATCTAGTTTGCTTCTTTGCACATAATAGGCCTTCAAAATGATCATCTTCATCATTAATAAGGCACCTTAACTTCTCTACAAGGGGAGCAGAAAAGGCACCCCTCCCCCTGGACTCACTCCAGGTGAGAGTGGTTTCAGGTTACACAGAAAGATCTTACAAAGCGCGTGGCTTTGAGCCCGTGATCTTTTGTGCTTAGCCAAGTCGTTAGTGACTATCGATCACGGAACATATTGCATAAGGGTCGAAAAAGTAACTGGGGCTTTGGACCCCGATCCCCGTGGGTTACATTCGCATTCCATTTTGCTGCTCTTGCCATCTTTGCCAAGTTTATCTGAAAGAACTTAGGGAAATAACATGAATGGGAAAGAGAGACTCACTTGGAATTGAAATAGTAAACTCTCAAGTATCGATTTAAATGAAAAATAGTATTGTCTTTGCAGCTCAGCTCATCCTTTTGAAACTGACAAAGCCTTATTTAGAATTGGAGGAGGAAGTAGAAGCAATCACACCTCCTGGGGACCTGGCATAGCTCAACTGCATCCCTAGGGGGTCCGTGGTAGGGAGGAGAAGCAGACAGGCTCTCTCCCCCTTGGCTGTGTGTGGTTGATGCAGCGTCACCAGCGTCACCTTCGTGGACCCAAAAGAAGTGCTCAGTCGCCGCGTCCAGGTGCAGCACAGTGGGCTAGCCTCCCGTGTGGCCGGTGCTGGGTGAAAATCTCCGTGTCAGGCAGCCAGGGCTTGGGAAAGTTGCGGACAGGCACGCTAACCAGTGAAAAGATGTGGCCTCAGGCTGTAGGAGGCTTCCCCTGTCTTCCCAGGTAGAAAATGAGCACGTGGGCAGATGCAGACACGTGAATCTAGTTGCCAGGGAGCCCAACTGACCTTAGTGGCCCGAACCGCATTTCTTGCATCAGTTCAGGTCTGTTTCCCTTTTGGTTGGCATTAACTGGCCTTATACCTTGCCTCTTGCCGTGAAAATACACCACACCTGAAGCTCAAGATGTCCCCCGGAACAGGTGACCCCGAAAGGTTGTGCAGTCAGGGGCACTCCCGGAAGCCTCACCCCAGGAGCAGTTTCTGCTGTTAGCCTCCGTTTAATAGCAGCTCACCTTTTCTGAGCTCTGTGGCTCAGCGCTCTGCAGAGCGCTCCCGCACCCTGGATGCTCGCGCGTGGCCGTGGGTAGAATGTCCAAGCTGCAAAGTGGCCCTGCTGGTGTCAGAAACTCGCACCGAGGACAGGGCGTCCGTGGCTTCTGCCAGCCGGCACTTGCAGACATCTACTGCGTTCACCTCTCCCCCCCCTCAGTTTTCATTAGAGAGGGTGGGAGAAGTGGGGGCGCGCCCTGTGGGCAGACAGCAACTGTGAGTGCTGCGTTCTGGAAACGGGGCGTCTGTGTGACCCAGGGCGGGACCCTCAGAAGGAGAGAGGGCACCTCCCCGACAGGCGCGGTCTCTCCCCCTGCCCCGCCGCCCCCTCTCACGGCCTCTGCTACAGCTTTGCTCCTGGGCTGTAGCTCCGTCTGCCGGCCGGAAAGGTCTAGCAGTCCTGCCCTGGAATCTCTTTAGAACCTGCGCCTTGTGTCCGTTTGGCCACAGTATTGGCAGGGAAAGGCCTTGGATGCACACCGGCTGCCTCAGCCCTTTGCTCTTTCTGAGCATCTCCCGGTCCTGGAGCATTTCGTGCCTGGATGGCTCCCGTGTTCCTCACGGCCTTTCACAAGACAGGAGCAAGTGGAGGTGGCAGCGGCCCAAGAGCACCAACGGGGGAGCTGGCGCTGGGGCCTCCACTCTGCGAGGTGCCTCCTGCCCACGCCCCAGGTGCTTCTGCGCGGGTCCCTTGGGTGGCGTCAGGGTCTCCACTGGACCAGCCCCCAAAAGAGCTGCCGGGCGTTTTGGAGGCGTTGGCCGGACACCACCCCCCCCCCCGCCCCCCCCCCCCCCCTTGCCTGGTCCCCAGCAGCCTCGTCTCTCTCTCTCCAGCAATCCCTGCTCGAGAAGCAGCGGGTCCTGATCCAGCAGCACGAGGACGCCAAGGAGTTGAAGGAGAACCTGGACCGCCGGGAGGGCATCGTGTCGGACATCCTGGCCAGCTACCTCAGCCAGGACAGCCTGGCCGACTACGCGCACTTCGTGAGGATGAAGTCGGCCCTCCTCATCGAGCAGCGCGAGCTGGAGGACAAAATCCACCTGGGCGAAGAGCAGCTCAAGTGCCTGCTGGACAGCCTTCCGCCCGACACCTCCCCGGCGGGGCACGCAAGAGGAGGCAGATGAAAACCGCAGCCTAGACTTAGGTCCTGGAGAGAGAATCCCTCCCAGAACCAAATGGCCGTTAGAAAAGCAATAATTTCCGTGCGTTTGGGATGATTGATTGAATGTCTTAGTTCCCCTCTTGAATGCTGAGCAGAGTGGCTCCCCATCACCCTTGGCCTGGAAGCAACCCCACGTGGCGCCCGGTGAACGGTGAGTTCCCGAGTACGGACTGGGCTCTGGTCCCGAGGTGCACGCACGTGGTCCTTGCCAGCTCGGGTCTGCCCTTCCGTCTTCCCATGCTGCACCCCTTCCTCCTCTCAGGAGGCAATGAGCGCGTGCCGGGCAAAGCCCGGCGCACGACCTCTCCGGTGGGTCACGGGAGGTGGCAGCTGCCGGCTTCTCCTGTTGGCCCAGAAGTGTTGAGCGTTCGTTGTGTCTGTCATATAAGGATGATCTGCGACCCAGCAAAAATCATGATGATACTTTAGTAACACTCTACAAAGGTGAATTTTCCATGTGGTTAAAATTGCCACTTAAATAGCGTTCGCGCTTTAAAACACACGCAAAGCAGACACACGGTTTTAGGACTTCTCGGCCGACGTCACGGTTCAAATGGTATTTTCCTGCAAAGAGAAGTTGGCTAAAAGCGTGTCCGGTAGTAATGTGCTTGCTAGGTGTTTTTATTTTTTAACTTACTCTTTCCCCAGAACATTTATTTTGCGTGTGTATGATCCTTAATTACAATTGGCAATTTCTCTCTCTTTTTGCCTCTATTTGTTACCATGCCGTAAGGGCCACACACGGTTTAAGAACCGTTGCTCTGGTTTCTCAGAGGTCCCGGTGGAGCACAGAACTCCTAGACCCAATTTCTGCCACACAGTGTACAGCTCCTGTACCCTTTTCTAGAGCCTATTTACTAAAGAAAACTGTCAAGCTGTCATTTTCCACTGGACAGATCACAGGCTAGGGGAAAATAACTTGCAAATCATGTATGTGACAAACCGTTTGTATCCAGAATGTATAAAAACGCTCAAACTTAACAGTAAGAAAACAAACAGCCCGATTAAAATGTGGGCATGGGCAAAAGAATAGACACTTCACCAAAGAGGATATGTGCATGGCGAGTAAGCACGTGAATCGATGTTTTAGCCACCAATGGCGTGGTTCTCACGTACTTATTTTTAATCTGATCACTGTGGAGCAGTGAGTTTCGTGACAATGCTCATCTGTTGAAATGTGTGGTTAATGGCGGGAGAAGCCCTAGGATAACGTCACGTCGAGGTGATGTGCGGACTTTGGTTTCGTCTGTAAGATCGTTTTACTCCTAATTCCTCTTACTCCTATAAAAAGTTTTCCAGCGGCGGGGGGAGATGTCCCTCTGTCAGCAGTGGCCGCTGCTTTACCAAACACAGACGCACACAAATGTCTTAAAGGACACTAGTCCACGCTTCGCCAGCCAGAGGGGAGACTGGACTCCCGGGCTGCCGCAGTGACCTCGGTGCACCCATAGAGGGGGCCGACCTGGCAGGCGTCAGTGATGCTGGCAAAATAAACACTCCTTTGGCAGCCCACCGACGCCAAAGAGAAATGCCTTTTCAACAGTTTTTACTCTTATTCAATTAAGCTATTCCTGACTTGAAAAATCCGTCTTCTGCCAACGAAGTGTCCTTGCCACGTGGTGTGGGTCACTTGCTGTGAAAACTGATCACGTCAGGAAAGGTAAAGCTGGCTGTCCATGGACACCCCCCCCCCCCCACTGCCCCTGCTTCCTCCTTCGGGGAGACAACCACGGTGATTTCAGTGTGTTTTTAATTGTCACAAAGCTTTTACCTGTGATTCTTTCCCTTCAAATACAGTATTGTGATCATTTTGATGATATGTCTGTAAAACGTGAAAATAGAATTTGTGTCTGTATCCAGCTTTTTGGTGAGAACTTTCTCTTCTACATAGCAATATATAGTGCTCTACTGTCCTTTTAACGAAGCACATAGAATCACAACATTCCCGTTTGCCTCTTAAATGTCTGGTGAGTGGGGACCCACAGATTGCAGTGAGTCAATGTACATAACTTTGTATATAGTTATGTTATTGCATATAAAGACAATCTGGTGCTAATGTTTTGCCCTTGGCATTCTTCGGTGGTGGCCGATAGCGCACTCTCGGTCATAGCTCAGCTGTGGAATGTTCTGTATAGCGAGATTCCAGTCAGGGGCGTCGCGCCTTTGGCTTCTCTCCTGCAGTCCACTCTGGAAGATGCGTACAGATTTCACGCTCAATACTTTCACTTACGTCTCAACAGATCATTCTGCTTGACGTTCACAAAATAAATGGTGTCCTTCAGTGAACGGAGCATGTCTTTGACTTACATCTTTTTTTAAGAATTGCAATATCCTTACATTAGATTCTTCAACCATTGATAAATGGTGGGATTAATTCTATGTATGTATGTATGTGACTATTTCTGCCAGTCTAGTAAAGGGCAGTCAATTTGCAGTCAGGAAAATGTCACAGACAGAGGTTGTATAAGTCAGTGCCTGCCACAGCAGTGCTGTATAACACGCACTATAAAATCTCAGCAGGATCCAGTGAGACCTATAAAATCTCAGCAGGGTCCAGTGAGACGTATTCCATTAGCTCATGAAATTGTAGATCAGGCTCTGCTCCACGTGCCTGTCATCTTCCTCCCGGCACCAGGACTTTGGCCTGGTCAGGTCAGTGGCAGATGCATAAGAGAACAAGCCCAGTCCCAGCAGTGCTTTTCCTGTCTCTGGTTAGAGTGCACCTGCTAACCTTCCATTGCCAAAGCAAGTGCCACAGCCAAACCCAAAGTCAGAGGGTGTGGCATATGCTCTACCCCTTTAGTGGAAGGAACCATGAGTCACGTGGCAGAATGTGGCTACAGGGAGGTGTGAAGAATTGGGGCCGTTGATGGACCACACCTCCCACACCAGGGTCCGATACCAAAGAGCACTAAATCGTCCAGGACCCGAAGCCAAGTTCCTGGAGCACAGCCAGCTCTGTCACTTCAGGCGTATGGCTGTGAGCACGTGCCAGCCTCTCCAACCTCAGCTTCCTCCTTTGCAGTTGGAGGAGAGCTGTTGTGAGAGCAATTAAGCTGATGTGTTCATGTGCTCAGGACCCGTGCCTGGATCAGAGGGGTGCCACTGGGAGCGTCCACACTTCTGCTGCCATCACTGTATTCTGGACCTGGAGGAAGTGCCTTGCCTGCATCCAAACGCATCTTTCGGAACCACCCAGCACACGACAGTTGCTCCTGGTTGGCGGATTAGAAACGCTTCTGCTGTGCAGCAGGTTGGTGGGACCCGAAGGTTAGCCAATTGAGAGGGAGGGATTCTTTTGTTTTTAACAAATTTATTTATTTTTGGCTGCATTGGGCTTTCTCTAGTTGTGGTGAGCAGGAGCTACTCTTGGTTGCGGTGCACGGGCTTCTCATTGCACTGGCTACTTTTGTTGTGGGCTCTAGGTGCACGGGTTTCACTACTTGCGGCATGTGGGCTCAGTAGGTGTGGCTCACGGGCTCTAGAGTGCAGGCTCAGTAGTTGTGGCACACGGGCTTAGTTGCACCGTGGCATGTGGGATCTTCCCAGACCAGGGCTTGAACCCGTGTCCCCTGCTTTGGTAGGTGGATTTTTTTTTTTTAATTAATTCATTCATTTATTTTTGGCTGTGTTGGATCTTCGTTGCTGTGCACGGGCTTTCTCTACTTCTGGCGAGGGGGGGCTACTCTTCGTTGCGGTGCGCAGGTTTCTCATTGCAGTGGCTTCTCTTATTGTGGAGCACAGGCTCTAGGTGCACGGGCTTCAGTAGTCGTGGCTCGCAGACTCTAGAGCGCAGGCTCAGTATTGTGGCTCACGGGCTTAGTTGCTCCGCGGCATGTGCGATCTTCCCGGACCAGGGATCAACCCGTGAGCCCTGCATCGGCAGGCGGATCCTTAACCACTGCACCACCAGGGAAGCCCCAAGAGGGAGAAATTTTTCTTAACAAGCATTACTCAAAATTTGGAGAGTGAATTTGTATTTAGAAGAAAAAAATTGACCCAAATCACAGATTTTTAAAAAGTGCACAAATGCCTCATACATTTTATGTTTGCCTTCTATCAGGATACTCTGCTTGTCTTATGTAAGTTCTGAAATGGTCGAGGAATTCATCACACAGGGGGCAATGGAAACGCACCTTAGGCTGCGGCTGGGATGGTGCTTCTGGGAGCCAGTGACCCTTGTGCTGCACTCCACGACCCACGGAAGGAGATGCTCAACGTTTTGCTTCTTCAGGGCCAGCTGCACTGCACACGCTGAGCCAGTCTCAGGCACAGGGACGCAGGAGACACTGACTCCATCGTTAACCTGTCAGCTGTACTGCCCTGCGGCTGTACCCTAAGAGCCCAGGCATCCTGAGTGTGTGTTTTCTGCATTTCCCATTAAAACAATAGAACCCCGGAGGGGGGGTGTGTGTGTGTGCTGGTATAGGCTGTGAATTTAGTTACAGTGTGGTGCCTGTGTGCGTGTCTGTATGTGTTGGTATGGACGGGGCATTGAGTCACAGTGAGCCGTGCGTGTGTGTGTGTGCGCTGGTATACACTGTGCATTTTCACAGTGAGCAGTGCGTGTGTATGTGTGTGCTGGTATAATCTGAGCATTGAGTCACAGTGAGCTGTGTGGTGTGTGTGTGTGCTGCTATAGGCTGTGCATTGTGTCAGAGTGAGCCGCGCATGTGTATGCTTATGTCTGCTGGTATAGCCTATGCATTGTGTCAGAGTGAGCCTTGCGTGTGTATGTGTGTGTCTGCTGGCATAGGCTGTGCACTGAGTCACAGTCAGCCGTGTCTGTTTTTGTGTGTGTGTGTGTGTGTGTGTGTGCGCGCTGGTACGGGCTTTGCATTGAGTAACTGAGGTGTGTGTGTGTGGTGCTACAGACTGTGCATTGACGCCCAGTGAGCCCTATGTGTGTGTATGTGTGAGTGTGCTGGTATAATCTCAGCACTGACCCACAGTGAGCTGTGTGTACGTATGTGCTGGTATGGACTGTGCATTGAGTCACACTGAGCCGTGCACGTGAGTCTTTGTGTGTGTGTGTGCTGCTATATGCTGTACATTGAGTCACAGGCAGCTGTGCATGTGTGCATTTCTGTGTGTGTATTTGGTGGTGTAGGGTCTGCATGAGTCACAATGTGTGTGTGTTTGTGTGTGCTCGTATAGGCTGAGCATTGAGTAACATTTAGATGTGTATATGTGTGTGCTGGTATGGGCTTTGCATTGAGTCAATGGTGTGTGTGTGTGCTTGTGTGTGTGTGCTATTGGCTGAGCACTGAGTCAGACTGCGCGGTGTGTATGTGTGGGGGGGGGGCTGATACAGTCTGACCACTGAGTTACAGTGAGGTATGTTGTGTGCGTGTGTGTGTGTGTATTTGGTTTAGTGCCTGCATTAGTCACATTAAGGTGTGTGTGATTGTGTGTGCTGGTATATGCTGAGCATTGAGTCACACTTAGGTGAGTGTGTGTGTGTGATGGTATAGGCGGTTCATTGATTCACAGTGAGCCATGTGTGAGTGCGTGTAGTTGTGTGTGTGTGCTGGTATACACTGTGAATTTAGTTACAGTGGGGTGTCTGTATGTGTTGGTATGGGCGATGCATTGCGTAAAGGTGAGCCGTGCGTGTGTGTCTTTGTGTATCTATGTGCTTGTATAGACGGTGCACTGAGTTACAGCAAGGTGTGTTTGTGTGTGTGTGTGTGTGTGCTGGTATAGTGTGAGCATGTCACATTAAGCCGGGCCTGTGTGTGCTGGTAAAAACTGTACATTGAGTCACAGTGACATGTTTCTGTGTGTGTGTTTGTGTGTGTGTTGCTACAGACTAGGCACTGAGTCATAGTGAGCCGTGTTTATGTCGTGGTGCAGACTGTGCAATGAGTCACAGCCGTGTGTGTGTGTGCGCTGGTATGGGCTTTGCATTGAGTCACTGGGGTGTGTGTGTGTGTGTGTGTGTGTGTGTGTGTGCTGGTATAGGCTGAGCATTAAGTCACAGTACACCGTGTCTGTGTGTGTGGTGCTACAGAGTGCACTGAGACACAGAGAACCTTGCGTGTGTGTATGCATGTGGCTGGTATACAGTGTGCATTGAGTCACAGTAAGGTGTATTTCTGTTTGCTGGTATGGGCTGTGCATTGTGTCAGACTGACACGTATGTGGGGGGGGTATAGACTGTGCATTGAGTCACACTGAGCCGTGTGTGTTTGTGTGTCTGGGTGCTGGTATGGTCTGTGTATTAAGTCACATTTAGCCGTGCATATGTGTGTGTCTGTGCTGGTATAGACTGAGAATTGAGTCACAGTGAAGTGTGTGTCTGTGTGTGCAGGTATGGACTGTGCACTGAGTCACAGTGAGGTGTGTGTGTGTGTGTGTGCTGGTACAGGCTGAGCATCGAGTCAGACTGTGCCACGTGTATGTGGAGGGGGCTGATAGAGTCTGAGCATTGAGTTACAGAGGTATGTTGTGTGTGTGTGTGTGCTGGTATGGACTCTACAATGAGTCACAATGAGCTGTGAGTGTGTGTTTGTGTATTTGTCTTACTGTCTACGTGAGTCACACTAAGTTGTGTGTGTTTGTGTGTGCAGGTATACGCTGAGCATTGAGTCACGTAGGTGTGTGTATGTGTGTGTGTGACGGTATAGGCAGTTCACTGACAGTGAGCCATGTGTGAGTGCGTGTTTTTCTGTGTGTGTGCTTGTATAAACTGTGAATTTAGTTTCAGTGAGGTGCCTGTGTGTGTGTATCTGTATGTGTTGGTATGGACGGTGCACTGAGTAACAGCCGTGCGTGTGTCTTTGTTATGTATGTGCTGGTATAGACGGTGCACTGAGAGTTACAGCAAGGTGTGTTTGTGTGTGTGTGTGTGCTGCTATAGTCTGTGCATTTACTCACATTGAGCCAAACCTGTGTGTGTGTGTGCTGGTAAAAACTATACATTCATTCACAGTGAGGTGTTTGTGTGTGTGTGTGTGTGTGTTGCTACAGACTAGGCATTGAGTCATAGTGAGCCGTGTTTTTGTCCTGGTGCAGGCTGTACAATGAGTCACAGCCATGTGCGTGTGTGTGTGTGTGGGTGTTAGTGTGTGGGTATAGGCTGAGCATTTACTCACAGCTACATGGATGTGTTTTTGTGTGTTGGTATAGGTTTTACATTGAGTCACTGGGGTGTGTTTGTGTGTGTGTGTGTGTGCTGGTATAAGCTGTGCATTCAGTCTACACTGAGCCGTGCCTATGTG